ACATCTTCGTTTCTGCCACGTCCAGTTCTTTCTCCTGTCTTTTTGTCAATGTCAGCACTGTCTCCAGACCATACAACAGCTGGTCTCACCACTGCCTTGTAAACTTTTCCTTTGACCGTTGCTGCCACTCCACCATGTTATTGTATATTAAACTAAATGAAAAACTTTGTGAGAAAAACTTAAGTTCACTCCTGCTGCTTCCACAGGATTTAATAGGTTCAGTATCAGTCAGGTGCTGCTGATTAAATGTATTTATTACTGATCATCATCAGTGTGACCACCTCTGTAAAAGCAGGAGTTTTATTGGTTTGCTGCTCTGGAGTATACAGGTGTATAATAATACAATGCCAAAGAGGCAAAAGAACAGCAATGAAATAAAAAAAGCATAGCTGTTTGTGTTTATCAATCTGAGAAGGGTTAAAGGTCTAGACCAGGGGTCTGCAACCTTTATGATCAAAAGAGCCATTTCTGCCCCTTTGTTTACTAAATTAAATGTGTCCGGAGTCACAATACCTGCTACAACTGGGATTCTCAACTGGTGGCCATTGAACCACTTTAAGTTTGTTGGAGGGCACTTTTCTGGACAGTAGGGGCTATTTTATAAACCTAAAAATATTAGGGGTGCACCGATAAATCGGCCCCGATTCCCTTAATTTTGGGAAATTGGCCGATACTTGCATGAGAAACCGATTTTACTGATTTTTTTGTTTTAACAACAATTGTCTGAACTTCATTTATATTTCAGAGCACTACCTCATGGCCAGTTAAAACAAGTTTGTATTGTTTCTAGGATATTGTTCAAGGGTATGTTTTTCAATAACATAAGATTGGAAAACTGAAGGTGCATCGTGACCTTATAACACCTGACAGTGTCACTTATAAAACAAAATCAGTATCGGCCAAAGTTGGAATCGGCAGGTCAGACTTTTTAGAAGTCGGTGATCAACCAGAAAACTGCAATTGGTGAACCCCTAAAAAAAAATCTTTTATTGATATTTTTACACTCTACGACAAAATAAGACAAGTTTCAACATTTTTCAGTCAGGTCATCTGGGCATTTTTTTTTTTTTTGTGCTGAAACGTTTCGCCTTCGGTCCGGAAGGCTTCATCAGTCAAGGAAACACACAACAAAACTGATTCTTCCCCCAACAGCTTACTCCAAAGTGGAACAAACCAGTTCTGCTTGTGATAAGATGGTCTCTTTGGTACGCCCCCTCCTCCATTGCCAGCCCTCTTCCTTGTTGATAGTCTTGTCAAACTGGTTGAAAACAACAAAGTCCATGCTCAATAATCCAGGTATAAAATCCAACATTTTTCAGTCAGGTCATCTGGACAGTTTTTTTTTTTGTGCTGAAACGTTTCGCCTTTGGTCCGGAAGGACACGAAACTATGACGTCTTAGTGTATTACCCACAGTAACCATGGAACCAGTGGTGCCAGCTCTCTTCAGGTCATTGACCAGCTCCTCCCGTGTAGTTCTGGGCTGATTCCTCACCTTTCTTAGGATCATTGATGCACCACGAGGTGAGATCTTGCATGGAGCCCTAGTCCGAGGGAGATTGACAGTCATGTTTAGCTTCTTCCATTTTCTAATAGTTGCTTCAACAGTTGATTTTTTTTCACCAAGCTGCTTGGCAATTGCCTCGTAGCCCTTTCCAGCCTTGTGGAGGTCTACAATTTTGTCTCTGGTGTCTTTGGACAACTCTTTGGTCTTAGCCATGTTAGTAGTTGGAGTCTTACTGATTGAAACAGGTGCTTCTAATTTAGAATAATAAGTGGAGTGGAGGTGGACTTTTTAGAGGCGGACTAACAGGTCTTTGAGGGCCAGAACTGATTGACAGGTGTTCAAATACTTATTTGCAGCAGTAACACACAAATAAATTATTTTTAAAAAATCATACATTGTCATTTCCGGATTTCAAAATTTATTTTTTTAGATTATGTCTCTCACAGTGGACATGCACCTAAGATGAAAGTTTTTAGACCCCTCCATGATTTCTACGTGGGAGAAGTTGCAAAGTCGCAGGTTGTTCAAATACTTATTTTCCTCACTATATATATATGGGGAGTGGTGGAGCAGAGGTTAGAGGTAGTGGGCATGTGATCGAAAGTTCACCAGTTCGACTCCCCGTACTGACAACATCAAAATATGAGTGGGAAAGGTGAAGCACCCACACCTGCCTCCACCTTCATTAACCCCACTCTGGGCTGTTGAGCAAGGCCCTTAACCCCCACCATCTGCTCCCACGGGCGCACTAGATAGCAGCTCTCTGCTCCACACAGAGGGCTGTGGTAGCTCAGTGATCTGTAGTTGCATCATAAAAGGCATTTGGCGTAAAACCAATTGCCAAGTCTTTGTGCGAGTTAGTTCACTGTGGCGATCCCTGAAGAAGGGAGCAGCTGAAAGAAGTATATATATATATATATATATATATATATATATATATATATATATATTAGTGTGTATGCCTATTGAAATAAAGTGTGCTCACATGACTGGCATCAATTCTCAGACTTGAGTTTTTCCTCCATTAGCCCAATGTTGACTGTGCTCTCTGTTCCTCACAGTTGGGTCACATGGGAGAAAACTGCTGACTGTCGACTGCGAGGGAGCATACAAACTCTTTGTGTGTCTGTGTGTATGTGTGTAGGCATGTGTGTGCTGTTTGGAAATGTAAAGATGGCAAGCACATGTTGCATGTTAACTTTGATTAAACACTGCAACTTTAGATAAAAGTTGAGCCAACTGCACATGAAATAACAAAAATATGTTCATATTTAGGTTTTAAAAATTATTCGGAACTGTCCACTTTAACAATAAGGAAGTTGAAGTGCTATATGTTGCCATCATTATATGTTTTCATACAATGATGAAATTTGTCCTCTGCATTTAACCCATCACATGTGAGATCCACCCAAGTGGAGCAAGAGGCAGCTATTTAAGCACCAGGGGAGCAGTTAGAGAATGTCTTGCTCAGTGACACCTCAACAAACGGGCATAGGGGAATCAAACCCACAAATTTCAAGTTTCATATCGGCTTCTCTACTACTGCGCCACAGCCACCCTGTTGCACATTTTAATGTTAAAAAGCGATACGCTGATGTCCCCCGTTGCTGACGTATTTGAAAAATTAATGTTTGCAGTTTTTAAGATGAGTATTTTTCTGGACTGGAATTGAATTTGCCGTTCAAGGTGGCTGCATGTTGGAGTATATGTTACTTTCATTCTAGGATATTGCTTGTGAAAACTTGATTTCCTCTTTTTTCTAAATGTAAATTGCTTTTTTTTTTATGATTACTTCTTCTGGTGTCGGGTGCTGTGCAGCTGGAAAGATTTTTACTGAAACCTTTTTACTTTTGGACATTTGTTATGAAGTGTAACCATGACAACCAGGGTTTTTTTTTTACAACCGGGAGCAGCTGATTAACATCTCAAAGCTCAAAAATATCTCAACTACAGCCCCAAATCCCAAATGAGTTGTAAAGGAGACACCGTGGATGCATCTCCGTCTACCTGGCGGAGGTGCTCGAGTGACTGACTGCTAAGCTGGCAGGAAATGTGACTCATGACAACAAGAAGACCAGGTTCATTTCCTGACACCTGCAGCTGGCTGTCTGCAATGATGAGGAGCTCAACAAGCTGCTGAGAGGAGTGGTCATTGCTCAGGGAGGAGTTCTGCCCAACATTCAGGTGGTCCTGCTTCCACAGAGGCCCGCTCTGTCTGGGTGGACAGTTCGGCATCAATAGCCAGTTTCTTCAGATCCGCTGTGGGACTGCTGTGAGAGATCTTTCCTGCCCAAAGCCATCAGCATATAGAACAAGACTTAATGAAACCAGGATGATGAGCTACAACAACATTTAATTTCCCTTTGTGATTAATAAAGTATATTTGAATTGAATTGAATTTAAAGACGCTGCAAGTAAACAAAGTTTTTGGTGCAAAATATTCAAGTAGGTAGGAGTTACACTGTGTATAAAAACTCAAGTTTTATTTATTTATATATATATATATATATATATATATATATATATATACATATATATATGTATATATATATACAGTATATATATATATATATATATATATATATATACTTATATATATATATATGTATATATATATATATATTAGGGCATTAACAGAATACTCGAATAATCAACACATCGATTGCTAGGACATCTATCGAGGTTAAAAATGTAACGTCGAGTATCCGTAGTGACGTCATATTATGTGACCACCGTATGACCGTAGGGGGCGGTGTTGCACTGTTGCAGGTCACAGAGTAAGGTGTAACACCGGGTCCAATCCACCGAACCAGAACCAGCTTCCTCTGACCTTGTTTCACAAACAAAATGCAAAAAATATTCATCTCTAAACCTATAAAAAAAATCTATAAACATATTAATCTCTAAAACTAATCTTAATGCGCACCACAGCTGGCGGTGGTGCGGGGTGGTCGACCCCCCCCCCCCCACACACACACACACACACACTGTTTTAAGTTTCGTTTTTGACGTGTTAGTTTTTCCTGTGACTTATTTGCAGTATGATAAATGTAGGAGCATAATATACGCTCCCAATGTTTTGTTGGTCTTTTTTTTTGTAAATAATTACCATTTTTTGCAGTTTTATTTATTTATTTATTTTTGTATCTTGAGATCGATGACGTCATCAAATACTCGAGTTCAACTCGGGTTTTATTATGTTAATGTCGAGTTTAAAAATTATATACTCGTTCAACCCCTAATATATATATATATATATATATATATATATATATATATATATACTGCAACTGCAGTACAGCTACATACTACATACATCACTGTCACACAAAGAAGTAAAAGTGTGAAATGTTCTACCTCATAAATAATTGTCAGTGAGGAAGTCAGATTGATTAATTGGCCTGAACACTGCAGGATCTTGGGATGCTTATATAAATGGGTGACCACTTGCCTCTGCTTTATGTGTAACTGTCTAGCTTGTCTGTGTCCTGTAGGTTCGTATGAGGTTTGAACTGAAGTCTCCAGTGAAAACCATCGAAGACTTCATCAAGCGCTTCACCCCCAGCCGCCTGACCTCAGGCTCTAATAGCAGCAGTTCCTCCAGTCTGAACCGCTCCTCCAACAAGGGATGCTCCAGCCTTCTCTCCTCACCCTCAGCAGAGAGCACACTCACCAAGCTGAATGAGGAGCAGCTTTCTGGATGTTTGGAGCACACATTCAACCTTGCCCCACCCTCCTATGAGGGTAAGGCCTCCTGCAATATGGAGGATGGAGAACTGCGCTATGAAGCAGAGTCGCCTGATGAAGCTGCGTTGGTCTACGCTGCCAGGGCCTACAAGTGTTCCCTTGTTGAGCGGCTTCCTGACCAGGTGACGGTGGACCTGCCTCACCTGGGAAAGCTGAGTTTTGAGCTACTGCACACATTGGGCTTTGACTCTACCAGAAAACGTATGTCTGTGGTGGTTCGACACCCGCTCACTGATCAAATCACTGTATATACCAAAGGAGCAGACTCCGTCATCATGGACCTCATCAAACCTCCTGATTCAGGTAGTGAAATCCTCATTTTTGTCACCTGACAGTTTTTGAAGATGACTAGTTTTCATTACAGCTCAAGTTGCTGCAGAACATTAGTCTACAGTATGTTAAATGTGCAAACACTATTTATTGATTAGCAAACCACGTTCAGCTAATTGTACTATCGTTCTGTTACAAAGAAATACTTTCTTGACTTTTTTTTTAAACTGTACCTCTGTGTTGCATTTTCCCAACTTTACTTGTCAATTCCTTTTCCCCTGAGCACCAGAGAGCTTTAATTGTTTATATGTTATTCATGCATTATGGGCTCACGTGAAAAAACTGGACTAGCCATCCTGCACCAGTGCAGTGAGGGAGGAGGGTGCCACATGAACAGGTACAATCTAAGTGGGGGAGGAGAGGGCGAGCTAAGGAAAGTACTTTTGTTTTTAATAGTAGTAGTATTTAATATGATTTGCAATGCTGTTAAATTAGTGTGGGGTTTTCAAATTAGGATAATTACCTATTCATCCATCCATGGATCCACTCCACTGGAGTGGCTCGAACACAATGACATCACCACCTACTTTGTTTGCATTAACGATTCTGCCCACAGAACAGGGAACAGTAGGGGTATAGGGACCGAGATGGGGTAGAGGTAGGGCAGCCGACTTGGGACCAGAAAGTCTTGGTTTGACTCCCAGCCATTCCCACATGTTGTGGTGTCTCTGAGCAAGATACCCAACCACTAATTGCTCCCCGGGTGCTCAATAGCTGCCCGCTGCTCCACCTGGGTGTATCCCAGGTGCGATGGGTTAAATGCAGAGAACTAATTTCACCACTGTAAAGAAACATACAATGATGTCAAGTCAACACATATACAAGTCACAGTGGCAAATCATCTACACCTGAGAAGAACCAATAATATGAAATCTGAGTGGAGTCAAACTTATCAATGTCATAGCGGCTTTAGTGAACCCTTAGCCTGTCAGATGACGTTCATTGAGACTCAGTGAAAGATGGCACTGGGTGATGTATAGGCCTTGATGATCTGGGTCTTGATGGAAGGCACAGGTGTCATCAATTTGTGTGCTGCTTGTTACAAAGAACAATCTTCACTTACTGTTTTGACTATTAATTAGATGTTACAGCAACTGCCTGATAACACTATATTTTGATAAATAAATGGCTAAAATAAGAAAAGTATGCAGAAGTTAAATTGCAAGACACCAAAGTTCATTTTCACTAATCCAGGTATAAAATCCAACAATGTTCAGTCGGGTCATCTGGACGGTTTCTTTTTTTTTTTCTTGAGATGTTTCGTCCTTCATCCAAAGGACTTCTTCAATCTGAGGAGCTACTTTTGAACCACTTTGGCATGACTGTCTCAGAGGAGTTGATGGGGGAGAGGGTGGGCTCCAGAGGCCATCTTGGCATCAGCAAACAGTTTTTTTCCCCTGTGGAGTATGCTGTTTGTGGGCATCAGTTTTGTTTGGTGGCTCCTCAGATTGAAGAAGTTCTTTGGATGAAGGATGAAACGTCTCAGCAAAAAAAAGAAACCATCCAGATGACCTGACTGAACATTGTTGGATTGCAAGAAAAATGTATAAGATAAAGAAATTGTTGATAGCAGCCTATCAACCATTACGATTGGTCTGTTGCTTTTAAGACAATAGTATGTGTCAAAATATATATTTTTATATTAGTATTTCTTTTAAAAAAGTCAGTTAAGACTGAAACCTAAACCAGGGATCCCATTCTGTGTGGTCTTCTGTAATATGACCCTTCCTGTTGGTGCAAAGAGCTGAGGTAGCACCAAGTACATTTGTCTTTAGCAGACATTATGGGGGAGGGAGCTCTAAATGAAAAGACTATTATAGCATATATTACTTTAATCACTGGAATGCTTCAAAATATATTATTTCAATATATTCTTACTATGATGGGTATTTTTTATATGACATGGTGTTTAGTATTTACGTCATATTTTGATAGGACAAATCAACTTGTGCAGCAAATGTTTCTTGGCCTCCATCCAGTAAGAGCATGTGGTGTATGGTGCATGTGGTATATGAGGTGGATAATTCATTTATTCACAAGCCTGCTCAGAGGTTCCCTGCTGTTCATTAGAAGCAGGAAGTTCATCACAGAAATATGAGTCTCCTGATAGGTAATCCTACGCTGAACAAAGACTTTGCTGCCATGCATCAGTGAAGACGAACACTCCCATCTTGATCCGACATGTTTTCCAGCTGTCATCACCCACCTGCTCTGAGATTATGCTGGGATCACAAAACCTTTTATGAAATTCATCTTCCGTTACGAGGACAGTGCAACCTTTTGCATTAAGGGGATGCTGAGTGTTCATTGTTTTGAGTGCGGTTGGGTTTTTCACAAAACTCCAGAGCTCATTAGAGGAGAGACTCGAGGTGGCTCTTGATCATCTCCTACACCTTGTATCTAAGATTAGCAGGTTTATTGACCAGTAGCTGCATGCAAACAACTTTTGCTTTACCATTTGATAAAAAGAACCAGTTGGTGAAGACCTAGTTGGGCCTCTTCTCCACAGATTAACATAATGGCACCTTTCAAGCAGGGGAGATGCTCATGGGAGACGACTGTGATCTCTTGGTGCTTAGAGGTCAGTGTGACGTGATGCACCTTTAGTCCTCGCTCCTCCCGCAGACTTTCATTTATTAGCAGTTTAGATTATTATTTTTTTTGTTTGGATTGCCTGTTTATTCATTTGTATGAAGGAATGTTTCAAAAAATACTTTACCGCTGTGTTTTGATCATGTTGAAAACTAAAGTGGACATAATGTCCACACTCCCCTGTTAAAATGACAGTTATTAGCGATGTATAAGATGAGATCAGGATAAAATATTTTAAAATAATTTCCCACCTTTAATTGTCTTTTTTTTTTTTTTGTATTATTTTTTACAATTTGTCTGAAACCAATTTGCTTTGAAGAACATTTGTTTAAATGAGCACACCCTTTTTTATTTTAAGCATCTCTTGATTTAATTATCGAGTTGTCATTTGGGTACACACCTGCCTTCTATTAGTTGTTTTGATCAATTTGAAATATGATTTAGCTGTCCTGTAAGGATTTTCCTGACATTTACTCAGTTGTATCTAAACCTCACAGAGAGCTTACAAGGCATCAAAAGAATCTTACTGCTGTAAGATGTCAACATTAACTATCTCATGAACACAGCGAAGACATTCATCTAGAAGTTTAGAAAATATTGAACAGCAGAGACTTTACCAAGATTTGGATGTCCCTTCAAGATTGATGAAAGATGAGATGGAAACTGATCTGACAGGCTGCTGAAAGACCTACAGCAACACTTGAATGAACTGCAAGAAGTTCTGACAGCGCTGTACATGTCCTTCATGTGACAACAATCTCCTGTGTTCTCCATGTGTCTGAGCTTTAAGGTACGGCTGAAGATGGAAGAATTATGGAAAAAATGTCTTCCAAAAATCCAAGCTAAATCCATCCATCATCTTCACCTGCTTCTTCCTTTTCACAAAGAAGTGATCCTGGTCACGGAGGGTCACTGGTGCCCATATCCAGCCATCACTGTATGAGAGGCGGGGGACACCCTGGACAGGTCTCCAGTCCATCACAGGGACACATGGAAACAAACGAGACAAACAACCATTCACTCTCTCACTCACACCTAGAGACTATTTAGAGTTACCAATCAGTTTAACATGCATGTTTTGGGTCTGTGGGAGGAAACCAGAGTACCTGGAGAAAACTCATGCATGCACGGAGAGAACATGCAAACTCAACCCAGAAAGGCCCCTGACCGGGATTTGATCTGGTGACCTAGCTGAGAGGCAGCAGCTCTACCAACTGAGCCACCGTGCTGTCCCCAAGCTAAATTTAAAAACAAATAAAAAAGTCTCCCAAAATCTTGTGGGATAATGTGTTCTGACCCGATTAGTCCAAAGTTGAGCTTTTCGGTCACAATTCCAAATGTTTGGATCCAGAATAACTCCAAAGACTACGCAGAGTTAAACGTGGTGGCGGCGGCATCGTACTGTGGGCTTGCTTTTCTTCAGCTGTGACTGAGTGGATGTAATTACGACCAGTTCCAAATATCAGTCTATTTTAGGGACAAGAAGTCAGCTTCAAATCTGAAAATGAAGAACTTATTTTTCATCATGACAATAATCTAAATCAACAAAAGAATTACGTCACTAGAAGAGAAAGTTTTGAAATGGCCGAGCCAGAGTCCAGACCTCAAACTGTGAAGGGTGACCAGCAGACAGCTGTGCACAAAATGTGCCCTTGCAGTCTTGACAAGATTTGTACACTTTTTCAGAGTCAGAGTTAGAGATTCTTTATTGTCATTCACACCTCATGTGGTACATGTGGTAGAACGAAATTATGTACACGGGGTCCCAGTTACATCCAACAATAAAATGTAAAAGAAAAACAGTAATAACATCTAAGATATGAACTAAGAAAAACATCAACTAAATATACACTAAGCACCAAAAGCATAAAAACATTACGTCGAACCTCAGCACGAACATGAACATGAGTTTGTGTGAGCAGATGAGCACGCATGAACACAGCAGCATGAAACAGATCAGCAGCAACATGATGTGATTCTTCACAGTGATTATTCTGGTTAGAGATTCATGAGTCAAACAGCCTCAGGGTAGAAGCTGTTCCTCAGTCTAGTGGTTCTACACTTAATGCTCCTCAACCTCCTTCCTGAGGGGAGTGGGGCAAAAAGTGTGTGTGCTGGGTGAGTGGGGTCCTTCATGATGCAGGCGGCCCTCTTCCTGCATCTGGAGGTGTAGATGTCTGTGATGATGGGGAGGCTGACTACAACAGTCTTCTGTGCAGCCTTCACCACTCTCTGCAAAGCTTTTCTTTCTGCAGCTGTGCAGTCTCCATGCCACACGTTGATGTTGGAGCACAGGATGTTCTCCACTGCACACCTGTAGAAGGAGGTGAGGACTGCGCTTCCCAGACCAGCTCGTCTCAGCCGCCTGAGGAAGTAGAGTCTCTGATGAGCTTTCTTTTTTTTTTTTATACCCATTGGAGCTTCTTATGATGGTTCAGCACCACTTTTTTCTTCTCTTGTCACCTAAATGGATCAATTCATCCAGCAGAGAAGAAAGTCCAGTGTTTTAAATTCTTTGGTTATTTGTTTTTTTTAGGAAAAGGAATTGCTGTGGCGATGCCAGTGTTTCTGTGCCTGCCGAGCTGTGCTGTTATTAGCCAAATTACATGGCTGGCAACCAAGAATTCTGGCTCGTGCTTCTATGTCATGAGACCCATAAAACCAATCTGTTTGTGACTGCCCCCCCCCCCCCCCCCCAATCAGAGAGATGGCCACGATGCTGCAGCAGTCTTTTCAGTCACACTGTATTAACATCAGGAATAAATGAGTTTGGTCTGATCATTGAAATAGACTTTTTATATTTGTAGCATGAGGTGGAGAATCTTTTTCTACCAGCACGATGGAGCTTGATAATGTGTGGAAATATATTTAGATGCAATGGGATCTGTGTGAGGACAGACTGTTTTCATGCCTCTGGTGAAGCTTTGGGCTATTTGGTGCTAAAGTGGTAAATCTCTCATGCAAATTCCCCAACAAGAATACTTCATCTTCATCCCTCTGTCTTAATTGGTGTGTTCTTAGGCAACTCCAAAGGGAAACGTCAGAAAAAGATCGTCTGCAGGACCCAGAACTACTTGAACCTGTATGCTGCAGATGGCCTTCGCACACTTTGCATTGCAAGGAAGGTAAGCAGGCGGACATCAGGAAACTTCTGAACAAGCGGCTTCTCATTAAACGACTTCAGAGTCCAATGGAGAGCGTGCACCTCAGTTTTTATTTTTCTCACTATTATTTTTGGCAGGCTGCAATTGTAGCCCAGTATAGATGATCACATGGAGCAGCTTGTCCAAAAGTAACATTCTTTGTGACTCAGCTGCAATCTGCGCCTCTCTCCCAGGCTGTTAATTTATGCTCTCGCAGGCTAGGCTTGTTATATTCCTGCTTGTGCACAGATCGTCACCAAAGCCAAGTGATGAAACACCTTGTCAGGGTCTCACATTCTGTCGTCTTCCTCTTCTATGGAGGAAGAGGCTGCGCCCCCTCAGCACTCAGAGAAAAAAAGCATTAATTGTGCGCGTGCAAACTTGTGTTTACGTGTCAGATTTTAAGCAAGGAGGAATACGCCTGCTGGCTGCAGCGTCACTTACAGGCTGAGACGGCCATTCAGGGCAGAGAGGAGCTGCTGTACGAGTCAGCTTTAAGACTGGAGACAAACCTCCATCTTTTGGGTAATTACTGGAGTTATTAATTGGTGATTAAAATATTTTACATTACTTTAATTATACTCTTAGATATTTATAATACCCTATTTTGTATTTAAAAGAGTACATAAATCTGTGCACTGACCTACAGGAGCAACTGGTATTGAGGATCGGTTGCAGGATGGCGTCCCAGAAACGATAGCTTCACTCCGGAAGGCCGGCTTGCAGATATGGGTGCTGACCGGAGACAAACAGGAAACAGCCGTCAACATTGCGTACGCCTGCAAACTGCTGGACCCTGAGGAGGAGATCCTGACGCTGAATGCTGACTCTCAGGTAAGCAGCAGTGCCCAGAATCTTCTCATCCCCATCCAGCCAAGTCCCCCATAGCCAAATGGTAAAACCGTTTAAATGGCACCTTCATTGTGTACAAAAATAAAAATCTAATGTTGCATGGGTTATCTGGAAAAAACTAAGAATTAACAACAGGAATGTACTAAACAATAAAAATAATGTAAATATTAATTTCAGCAGACACCATCTCCAAAATGTTCTGAACCCGAGTGGTCTAAGCAGTTCTTGTCACTGTTTGCTGATGCTGACCCCCCCACCCCCTTCACTTTGCACCTTTGTCTGAACCAGGAGGCGTGTGCGCTGCTGCTGGAAGAGAGTTTACATTACATCCAGGCAAAATTCCTCTGCAGCTCCGAAGTCCAGTCCACCAAAGCCTTCCACTCTAACTTTCCTCCTTTTGAGATTTATCCCTCCTCCTCTGCGTCGTCCTCACCCCCCCACACCGCTCCCTTTTTGGTGCACCGGCTGGGCCTGGTGATTGATGGGCGCACCTTGGCCTATGCCCTGGACAAGAGTTTGGAGGATAAGTTTCTGGCTGTCGCTCGGAGCTGCCGCTCGGTCCTGTGCTGCCGTTCCACGCCGCTGCAGAAGAGCATGGTGGTCAAACTGGTGCGGAACAAGCTGAAGGTCATGACCCTGGCCATAGGTAAGCACTAGGAAACGCTACAAAACACATTTAGACTTCAAACCAGTTTTGTTTTTTAAAAGAGGTTTACAGTTGACTAATAAAAAAACAGATCTAACCAAATTTAAAGTGTTTATCTGGCTTTTTTAAGTTAATGGTAAAATAAATGGACTGTACGGATGAGCTAATGTCTTGGTTAAGCAGACACACCTCAAAAAAAGATTTTCCAGCTTAAAACAATTCTGATCGTTAACATTACATAGCGCTCCATGTCAGCGCTATTATTTAAACCTTTACACCCATCATCAGTTTAACATTACCTGGTCATTTCTGCAGAAATGTTATGAAACTCGTGCCTGAACTGATCCCAGTCTGCACCAGAAGTGGTGCAGTGACCCTGCTGCTGCCCCCGTCAAACCTTTACTGCACTGATGTTAGGAGCGAGAGCAAACAATCAAACAAACAACACATTAGTGACAAGCAGTTGCCACTCTTATCTAAAAGAAGACACTCTTATTTCTCTCTTTTTACAAAGTAAAAATAAAAAAAAAACCACAATCTTGCGCAATTGGAAAATTTTGCATTACCTCTTACTGCTCTGTACATGTATTATAAATTACTCACTACTACATCAGATTTTAGATCAATATATATATTTTTTTGTTTGGGGTTGATTAGCTCTGGCAGCCATATTGAATTTGGTTGACCCCAAAGGAAAATACAATACCCAATCTGAAAAAGTTAAAACATGCTAATCTAATGATTTTCAAATCTCCTAAATGCACATTATGTTCTTAATGAAACATAGTAAACGTTAAATGTTTGAACTAAGTAACTGTACCAATTTTGGTTAAAAAAAAAAAAAGTAATTTTGAATTTTAGGGCATCAGCACATCTCAAAAAGAGGGGCTGTGAGCGTAGTTACCACTGTGAAGCTTTTCTTTTTCTTTAAACAACAGTTTGTAAATGTCTAGAAACTGAGAAGACCAGTGGCTGGAGTTTTTAGTGGGGAATGTTGTCCCATTCTTGTCTGATGCAGGATTCTAGCTGTTGAACAGACCCAGGTCTTCTGTTTCCATACTGTTGTAATGGATGCATTGTCTTGCTGAAATATGCAAGACCTTTAACATGATGTCATCTGGATAGAACCACATGTTCTAAAACTTGTATATATACTTTTATGCTGCTTTTGATGGTGCTGTTCCAGATGTGTAAGCTACCCATGCTATAGGGGCACTGATGCACCCCAATACCATCAGCGAGGCAGGCTTATGAACTGTGTGCCAAATAACAGGCCGGATGGTCCCTCTCCTTTTTTAGGGTGCGTGTGGCTTTTGTGGTTTCCATAAAGAATGTGAAATTTTGACTTTTCTGTTGACAGAATAGTTTTACATTTTGATTTAGCCAATTTTATATGAGCTTTGGTCCAGTGAAAACAGCAAATTTCCTGGATGGCATTCTCATATGGCTTCTTGCATGATGGAACTTTAAACAGGATTTGTGGATGACAGTGGACTGTGTTTACTGACATTAATTTGTGAAAGTGTTCCTGAGCCCATGCAGCGACCTCCATAATGTTTTCAAACCTGTTTTTAATGCAGAGTCACCCAAGGGCCCAAATTTCATGCTTATCCAATACAGTAGTCCCTCGTTTATCGCGGGGGATCCGTACCCTGAAGCCCCGCGATAAGTGAAAAACCGCAAAGTAGGAATAGTAGTACAAGTAGTAAATAAGTAGTAGTTTATTTTATACACAATGTTTTAAACACTTCCCACACTCTTGCAATATTCCAAACAATGTTTCTAAACGCTCTAAAAGAGCACAGCATGTCATGATCTCGGCTCTCTGCCGCAACTGCTCTCTGCACTCTCCGCTCTGCACGAAGATCAACAAAGGAGGGGGAGCTGCAGGAAGAAGTTTCTCCTACAGTGTGGCCTGCACACAGGTGCAGAAGGTGCAAAAATAATTTAAAATCATTTTAAAATAAAAATTCCATGTCGATCCTGTAACTCATCCATCAATCAGCCAGTTGTGTGTCTTGTCCAGTCTTATTTTGAAAAACCGTGATAGAGCGAGTTCATGATAAACAAACTGTGAAGTAGCGAGGGACTACTGTATTGACTTTCAGTCTCGTCCTGTACACAGAAGTTTCTTCAGATTCCTGAAAACTTTTGTTATGATGATGAACCGTAGATAATCACTTCACTTCCGGCGAGCTGATGGACGGCAGCTCCCTCCGGCTTCTCTGCAGTCTTTTATCATCAAACTGACCCGTTTTTTTTAGAACCGGACTAAAGTTGGTCCCCCTTCCAACCGAATTCGGTGTTCAGTGACTCAGAGAGCTGGACGGGACCGTCCAAAAATATATTTTGGTCCAGGACCAGTCGCTCCCACCCCACCGGTCACTCCGAGCACACCCTGCTGGCCAGGTGACCCCTCAAGCTGGGAGTCGTCGCACGAAGGTCCGGTGGTTTTTCTCTCTCTCTTTGGACCCAACAAAAACAAACTTCTCAACAAACTTCTCATCTGGACCTTTGTGGTTCTACCTGGTTCCGACAAGGATCGCCGGGTGGTATTTCGCTGGTTTTCTGCTGGACTGGCCCTCGTGGTGTCTTCATTGGTGTGGGGGAAGTGTACCTGTGTCCCACGAACTGGACCAGAACCGAACCGAGTTGACTGTGGGGGACTTCGTCTTCAACAGAGCCGGTCTCAGCTTCAGTGAGCAGCCCGTTACTTTTAAACAAAGGACTGTCCACCTCCGTGGAATCGCTGTTTTCGCCTGGAGGAGACGCTATGATGCTTTGAAGCGCCGCCGGAACCGGACTGGAGCAGAACCGGGCCAGGGACAACTTCAGTCTCTTCGTCTTTCGAGCTGTGGAGCGCCGGAGCCGGACTGGAGCAGAACCGGACCGGACCAGTGACAACTTCAGCCTCTCCGGTCAGTCTTGTTTTTCACTGGGGGTGCCTCTCGTGCTGTCAGGTGCGGAGGTGACGTGCAGAGAAGCGGAGGAGCAGAGTGGAGGAGCAGAGTGGAGGAGCAGCGCTGCGTGGTGCTCGAGAAAAGTTCGGAGTTTGCATCAGAGTTGCTGCAGGCCTCCATCCATACTCACCTGGATATTAATTATTTTTATTCCGGATCACGCTGTTGTCCCCCTGTTGACCTGAAACAAGCTAGGATCATGCCTTTCATTTCAGGAGGACTTTCTGGCAGCTCGCTCTGTTATTTGCTGCAAATTATATGTTATTGTTTCTGCCTGTTGGTTCTGGACCCAGCTTCTGTTTCTCATGGGAGCATCCATCCATCTTGCAAGGGGGCCGGAGCCCCCCTCAACCCAACCCAAACTGCAGTTGGGCCATCTCGTCGGGTTTGTTTGCCCATTTGATTTGTGACGTTTTATGGTCTGAGACTTCTGCACCATTCATATTATTTGTCATTATTTTCAGATCTCACACTATCTGGAGTCACTGAATCTTGTTAATACACCTGGATTTGCCAGGTGTATTAATTTGATTTCACTGCAACTTTCTGTTTTTGGGTTCTGAATGATCGCGTCTTAATTAATGTTTCTCATGGTTCAATTACGGGGGCTAATTGTCACACTGTTAATTCCTGTAATTACACATCAGTCACGAAAAACTCAAGAAAATGTCTAATAATGTTGTTACTGCTGTCAGGTATTCAGCCCAACCCTTTACCCCCCACTAATTATATGACACCAAAGGACTTTAAAAACGTGTCTGTGATAAATTCAAGGAATGTTGCCTGTCTCTCAATCTTACCCAACTGATCAACTCTCCGACTAGACCAAACAAAAACCGTCCTGAAAAGTCCTCCATCTTAGACCTTTTTCTAACTAATATGCTTCACAAATTCTCTGGTACAGGTGTATTCGCTAACATTTTGAGTGATCATTGTGTGACAGCGACTCTGAGAGATATTAAACTTCTACCTTCTAAGCCTAGATTAATTTAAAAAAAGGGATCTGAAATGTTTTTGTGAACAGTCATTCCTCTGGGATCTGTCTTACTTTGACTGGCATCGTATTCTTTTAACTGATGACGTGAACTCCGCTTGGAACTATTTTTATAATAGTTTCATTTATTTTGTAAACAAACATGCTCCTTTTCATCAGTTCATAATAAAGGGACGAGACAGTCCCTGGTTTACTCCAGAGCTAGCTTGACCTCCTGCACAGGAGAGATCAACTTTGGGCCACAGCGAGAAAATCTGACTCAGACACTGATTGGTTGAGTTTTCGACAGATGAGGAATAAATGCACAACTGCTATCAAAGCTGCAAAACACAACTATTTCTTATCTCAGAACTCCAAAAATCTAAATGACCCTAACAGATTCTAGTAAACCATCAAATCTCTTTCAGGCACCCCCCAATCATCTGACCTCCCATCACAACTTCTCATTAACTCTGTTCCTGTGTCAAATAAGCACGAGATCCTGAACTGTTTCAACAAACATTTTGTTGCTTCTAGTTCTTTATTTGACACAGTTACTAATGGAATATCAGCCACTTCACTTAATAACCAAACTTCTACTAATCAAATCCCTCCTACAAGTCAATCCTCAGTTAAACACAGCTTCTCTTTTTCTCCGTTCTCAGTCAGTGAGGTTAATAATGTAGATGAACAGATGCTCAGATATATTCATCATTTAACACGGATTCCTCATTTTTCTGGACTGAATAAAACGTGCATTGAATTTAAGGAAATGCAAACGTGAGACGTCATTTATATTTGACCCATCAAAATGAATGCGGTCATTTATTTACAGAATCAAAATTTAACATCAAACATTTACATTAATTTGGCAAATTATGAAAATAACAACATAAGCAATCAATCAGGAAAAATCATACGGCCATGATTTTTCCGTTGCTTCACCACAGACATTTATGAAAACTGTACAATTATGATCTTTTACCCACATGAATGTGGGTGAGCATTTTACACAGACATTTCTAAAATATCTGGAAGAATTTCTACTTGATAGAAAAGTTTAAAGA